CGATTCCTACAGTAAACATCAACTCTGAGATGTAGGTACATCCAGCTGATAAGTTCCAAATAGGACGAAACACGCATCATAGATTCCACTGCTAGCCATTATCTATCTTTGCTTAGAATTGTTTTCGAGTTAATTTAAGTCCTAGGCATATATTATCTTTAAATTATTACTGTTGTACTGAACAGAACTCGAGTTAGTACAATCGAATGTATTTAACAACAAATTAAAGAAATTGTTAATAAAATCTAACAACCATATAGTAAATGCTCAATTTGCGAAATGTCTTCATTATTCTTGCATTTTCATACAAATTGCATTCTGTCTTCATTCTTTACTGTTCGATCTTCTTGTCTCTCTGTTGCCAGACATTCTGTTCACGACTAACATGATATACTACTTATGTCTACATAAGTAGCACACATCACACAGTTAGTAATATATTGTGTGCTCTATTTTCATTATAAGTACAGGTTAATGAGAATAAAATCACCCTTCCCTACACTAATTATTTGTAAATAGGATATCCTAGTCCGTCTGACAAGGGAATTTTAATTCTTGTTCTCTCTGTCTTTTTCAAATCTATCATTTAAGGATTTTAATTACGTTGGAGTTACGACATTCATTCTTTCAAACGCTACCCGTTAAAGGTAACTCCGTACTTACAAGATAAATGATTATACTATGATAACAATTTCTTTGTCATAAAATACTATCACCTTTCTGTATAAATTTCGTCTGAATCATGTACTCTACATTATTAATATTTCTATGACAAATATTCCATTCGTATAATTTACGACCCAGTTCATTTCAAACAATATACTCCCTTTTATATCAACTTCATTATACCCATATATTTTTGTGTGCTTTGTGATTATTTGCAAAATATATTAATTATTACATTGTAGGTAACTAGATCATTGAAAACAATGGAAGATTCAGTATATATTTACCTCTATGAAAGTCGTTATTGCCTTATATTAGTACACTGAAGGAGAACAAACTACCGTGATTAGAAGTAGAGGAAGTGAAATAATATTATCTATGTTAATAAAAACTAAACATTAGACATATAGTCTGAAACGTATAATTTAATGAAATCAAAAGAATAAATGAAACTCTCAAAGGAATAGTAATAATAATAATAACTTCATAAAATAAACATGATGCACACTTTTGAGGTGTCCAATACTAGGACGAAACAGCTGTCCAGTGCTTTCAAGTTTTCACTGGCTATCTAACATTGATCAGTTCATGATCCTAATTAAAAATATTTTTACCTTAGTCACTTTTTTTCAACTTAAAATGACTGAATAAATGTTTAAATTCACGGTGGCTCAATTTTGTGGATTGGTTGAAGTTAGACATTAACACCATTGGATATCAGCTCAGTGGTTTAGAGATTAAGCATCCGTGCACGAGACTGATAAGATCTTCTGTTCGAATCTCACGAGGTGGGATTGTGGAGGAGTCTCATACTAGGACGAAATGGCTATCCAGTACTTTTGTGTTTTTCATGGTGGTCTAGCTTCAACTGACTCATACATTCAACTATAAAATTACTAAAATCTATACAAAATCCTCTTCTAATAAAAAAAATTAAATGACTTAAATGTATTATCGTGACATGCTTAGAAATTATTAGAGTTGCCAAGAAATGTCTCAATAATCAATATAGTTTCCCAAATAAATAAATTTTATTTGACATATAAATACAAAAAAAAAACATTTGCACGTAAACGTTTCTCATCACAACATACTGAGTGTTTACTAACTGCATAATGTACGTTTTCTTTTTAGCAATTACCTAATTTTAAAAAAAGACAGGGTTAATTCTTATTAATTTAGTCTGTATACATGAAAACATATCACTGGTATTCCAAATCACTTTATCATTCTGAAGTTTTTATTTATCAGAAAACATTATCGTTTTGTTAATTTCATGTACTACTTTTGATGATAAGTTCTAATAATGAAACGGTGTTCTAATCTTTAGAATAATGATACAAACTTATTTGTATCTAACCTTTGATTTGAGTAATCTAGTTGTATTATTAACCCTTACATAAACAATCACACTTAAAGTCTAGTACATAAATCTATATATGAGAAATTGGTAGTAGAATTGATTATATCATTTCCCGTTTCTTAAAGTTTTGTTGTTTATTTCACTAGTTAAAGTGTAGCATTTGTTTATATGTGACATCCTTTTACACTTGAGACGTATCCATAAACTGAAAAATATTCATCACAAACGATATGCGTATTTAATTGTCAAATATTAGTTTCTGTACTACTTAGCCAATTGATGTGCAAAAATTTCGATTTGTGGTTTAAATAGTTCCTGGATAATTCCTTTGTCTGTCATACAGGGTAATAAAAGTCCTTGTCCTATATAACATTTCGTTTACTTCAGGACCTCAAATATATCATTTGGGACACCTGTAACTTTGATTTTCATACTTATACATTTTAAAGAATCATTCATCTAGAAGACATATGTAATTTATGCCCTGCTCATAAGAATCACTGTGAATGATTTCCGATTGATTGCTTCATCAGAAAGTAAGCAACTTTAGAACGTCTAGAAAAATTGGTGAATATTTGGGGATTAATGGAGTCATAAACTATCTGTTAGATGTTGATTATCAATAGAATCCATAACACCATTTTCGTCCTATTTGTCTCATTAGCTGTAATGCGCCTAAATCATTCACTGATGATGTTTGCGGTAATAATCGAACTACGTATCCCCTTCATTTTAAACCTAGTCAGTATAGCTATTAACGTATTATTAATTGTAAATACTAATAGGTTGTCTATAATGATAGTCAACACTTAATGAAAACTAGTCAATGCTAACGTTATCACAAATAGTTCATTATGTTTGAAGGCTCTGGATCCCAACTCGTACAAGGTATAGTGTTTCATTTAAGATTCATCAACCAAATATACTTATTTTTTAATGGTGATCTCTCCCTTAAGATATAAACCCTACACCACCATAGAACCTAACAAATCTTAACAGATATTACATGTTAGTTCAACTAAACTTTGAGATAGAATTTTAGAAAGAAAAAAAAAGGAGAAACTTCTTTTCCTCATCAGCAATTGTCAATTTTTTTTCTCGGTCTATTCATCAATCAATATTATTCTTCATTAACTTTAATTGACTCATGATCTCAACTATTAAAATTACCATAATATTCACAAAAATCTCTTCTGATATTAATCTACTGATGCTCACCAGTGACTGGCTTTATGAGGTATTCCCTAGAGTTCTAGTGAGATATTGTGACCAGTGGATTTCAACGGGGTCTGTTGTGAGATAGTAACTCACTGAAGACAATGATGAATGTGTGGCTCAATTTCGTGGATTAGTTGAATCTATATATTAATGCCATTGGATACCAATTCAGTGGTCTAAAGATTAAGAATCCGTGAGCGAGACTTATAGGTCTTTTGTTCAAATCTCGCGAGGCGGGATCGTGAATATGCATTGCTGATGAGTCCCACAATAGATACAAAACGGAATTCCAGTTTTCCATGTTTTCCATAGTGGTCTAGTTTCAATTAACTCATAATCTCAACTAATAATATTCTTTAATCGTTTAAAAATTTATTCAAATCATAAATGTTGTACATTCATTCACTTTTTTTTTCTTCATTTAATACGTTTATTGTTATTTTCTTATTGTTTTGTTTCTTCATTTTCTTTTTTTCTTTTTTTATATTCTGTCTCATTCATTCAGTGTGATAATATTAAAACAAATAATTATATATGTAAACTGTAAATAATTCTATAAAACAATACACATATATATGTATGTAAATATAGTTCAATAAAATTAATTATAGTTATACTACTAATACTACTTATATTGATACTACTGATATTAAGACTTTTTAAAAAAATAAAAAAAAACAAGAATTTTATGTCTAAAAAAGTATAATTATAAAAACATAATATAAAGTTGAATTAATAACACGTAAATATTCTGAGTATTCTTGTTTTCAGAAGGGGTTTTGTGGAGATTTTAGAAAATTCAGTGGTTGAAATCATGAGTCATTTGAAGCTAGACCACTATGGAAAACCTGCAAGCATTAGACGGTTGTTTCGTCCTGTTTTCTTTTTTCTTACTGACATTTATCTATGTAAATTTAAGCATTTTTGTTCATCATTGAACAGTTCTATCTTGAATACAATGTGATAATAAATCGTAAATTTAGGTAAAATATGTTGTAATCATTGAATTTATGAGTTGATGTTAGTTAGATTACTATGGAAGACGTAGAAGCACTGGACAGCCGTTTCGTTTTAATATGGAACTTCTCATTAGTGGGCATACACAATTACAAACTAAAGGGACTCGGACCCAAGAACTTCGGTCTCGCACATGAACGCTTAACCTGTAGACCACTGAGGCAGATTTCCTGGAGTTTTGGTGAGAGGCTGTGATCAGTGGTGTTCAATCTATGTCGAATGTGAGACAGTTATTCACTGAAGACAATGGATGAAGGGTTGAGAAAAAGCATGGATTGATTAAAGTTAAACATAAACACAATTAGATGCCGGCACTATAGTCTAGAGGTTAATTGTTCAGATGAAAGAGCAAAGGTTTTGGGTTCGAGTCAATTTAGTGTGTGATCGTGGATGCCCACTAATGAGAAGTTCCATACAAGAACTAAACGGCTGTCCAGTGCTTCTTAATTTTCAATGGTGGTTTAACTTAGACTTATGAATTCAACTATTAAAATCAATACAATCTCCACAAACTCCAATTCTTAAAATAAATTGTCAACACAGGGAACATAATGTTAAGTCAACTTAATTACTGGACACACTTTTGATCAGCACCAAAATGGACAAAGTAAACATGTTAATAGTCATTATTCAGTTATATGTCGATATGTTGATATTGGCAGGTATATCGATAAGTGATTCATATAACAAATACTTTACATATTACACAATGATATACGAAAACTACTAAGGAATGCTAAAATAAATTGTCTAACTTATGAAATTTAAATAAAACGAAACTTATGAACAACAATTGAGGTAATGTTAATTCATCATCATCATCATCCAAAGCATCATCATCATCATCATCATCATCATCATCCAAAGCATCATCATCATCATCATTATCATCATCATCATCATCATCATCATCATTATCATCATCATCATTATCATCATCATCATCATCATCATCATCATCATCATCAACAACAACAACAACAACATCAACAAAACACACAGAACTTACATTAACCATGGCATTTTATTTTGTGATACTACTTACTACTTATTTATTATTACAATCCTTCTGTTGTACTCATTTGTTTACTCAATCATGGATGTTTATAGAGTAATTGTTGAAACTGTTCTGAAGCAAATTATTAATTATTATTTGATAAATTTTATTGAGGGAAGAAAGAATTGTTTCTTGCTTCTTTTTTAGAAGTAATTAAATTAATTATTTACTTTGAACATCAAGAACATCGCTTTAGGTAAAAGTAATAATAATATATATATATTAGATTAGTATATAATATGAATCTAGAAGAAGGGAGAATATCATTATGAAGAGGAATAAGTGTTATCTCATATGAAAGATATTGATAGTAAAATATCTGACCTGATTCATTTGGTATTGTTTGCTTGTATCTTCCTGTTGTTGTTTAGGGCTGAAATTGATCAGTCTCTTGTTGGCATATCTACATCCTGTGTGGATTGCCTCGATATTGTCCGAAATCACAAGCTTTATAAGCAAAGATGGATAGCGGCTAGCAGTGGAATCTAAGACACGCGTTTCATCCTATTTGCGACTCGTCAGCTGGATGTATATGAATCTCAGTGTTGATGTTCACCCCATCTTTGCTTATAAATATCTGATCTATTTTGTAATGATCATAATGGTATATCCTACTTTCTTTTTATGGATCCACCGTAGGAATTCGTAGGTAATTCGTCCAATTAATTATAAATAGAGAGGTTTGGTAGAGACCATTCCAGTTTGTAGGCAATATTCACTGAAAATTGATTTCACTTAATGTACCATTAAATCAGGGAGCATTGAACATTTGTTTCTTTTTAGTATAGGGCTCCTCAGGTGTGTTAACCCAAGTACGTTAACCATGTGATTCTGATGGTTAAAGGGTTCTCAGCGAGACTTAAAGATTTTGGGTTCGATTTCAAGTAAGGTGGCAGATGAATGATCATAGCCATCCAATACTTCCTTGTTTTCAACGATACTCATACTAATATTAGCTGTTCTATAATATCACCTATAAATTAATTTTACTTTAGGAATTCAACAGTTTTAATCTTAACAGATAGTTTACCTAAGGAATATCCAACGTATATATTGAAGGCTGAGAACTAGTCACATAATAAACAGTAGAAGATAATTTAATAAATACTACCACATAAACAGTAAAATCCTATATACTATCATTAGTAAACTTTAGATACTCCAGAGTATTCATTTATTCCTCAGCCAACTAATAGATAATATCATGATTTTTATTAGCTTGTGGTAAGCCCATTCAACCACTGTATTATTTATCTGCTCCCTGTAATTTAAACATTTGATCCACCATATAAATTTCTGTGTGAGTATGATTGAGCATATGTCTGCACATCAATTTTCAATCTATTCCCCCCATTGGTTGTAAAACACAGATCATCAATAATTTATATATACTTGATTAACACTTATAAAATATATATGGATTTTTAACACACACCTACACACTCTTGGTTTCCCTGTGTGCTTGCTTCCTGTACGCTTGCGGATTTTATCAATCTTTAATAATAAACTATCTCTATAACTGGTGTTCAGGCTTTTGAATAGTCTCGAGTAAATTCATAATTCTACTAGGAGATTTAGCCTGCATTTAATACTCTGTTAACGAGATACTATTTATTGGAGTCAGATATAGAGGAAACTAGCCTCTACAAGCTCAAAGTGAAACTATAATTGATTTGTAACATAAAACAGTTAATTTATCTTGCATCTATAGTCGATTACCATGACTGGCATACTTAACTTGTAATGTAGCACCAAATCTGTGTTGTAGCAAACTACAATAATTAGTTTTGTACAGTAAGTTATGAAATCTTTCAACTATTTACTGAGATCAATTTATGAATAGTATGAAAAGAGCACTTATTTCACAAACTGATGTCATCTGATGAAATGATAAAATTATAAACCATTAAAAAATTAAGTTTATTTGTTTATATCTTTCCACTGAGAAGATCCAAACAAACAATACCAAATGAATTTAAACTTCACAACATTGTACATTCAAGTGGCTATCAGGATTAAATAGCTAAGTGGATAACGCCATAGCGCTTGAAGAGGATGGTACTAGGTTCCAGTTCCAGAGTGTGAACCCATCTGACGAGTCCAAGATAGGGCGAAACGTCCATCTTGGATTCCACTGATAGCCATCAATAACCTTTGCTTATAATGCGTTGAAAAATTGTCTTGTCGTAGTGACTGATGTCTTATTAGTGCAGATCTACAAACCTACATGAGATAGAACTTAAGACTTTTTTTTCGTAACTAATATTATACTATAAAATCCCCACTGTCTAATGTTAAGTTGAGACTAAATTCAAAGAGACTGAGTTCGAAAGTATTCAGGATCATTGGCAATAAACTGTTGAGAAATCACAATATGGTGGTTCAGTGCTTCTTATCTTTATTGACCCTCAAAGTTAGTTCATGATTAAAAGTACTTTCAGAATTTCCATTAAAGTTCATGAATTTTAATAGTTAACCAAATTAACTAACAAATATAAAAATTTACTTTACGTGAAAATGAATTACTCTTGAACAACGTTTATTATTTTTATATCATTTGGAAATGAGCTATTCTCACCTATTCACTGAGTATGGTAATAGATTAACAGAAGCTTCAAGCGGACTATAAATAGATAAATATGTGGATAGATTGATCAAAAAATAGATAGAAGAGAGACATCTTTGGCAAGTTGCTTGATTTTATGGGCTACATGTCCTTCCCTACCATCTAAATATTTCAACAAGTTATCGGTTTTCTTGTTTATTTTAACACATCATTATGCTTATTAGTCGCATAACCTATTGAGGTGCATTTGTGAAAAGTTTACGAAATTTCGCTGTACAACTTACAAAAGAGCCCGATCAGCGACATCGTGGTTGTTGGTAATATGCATCGAAAAAAATATACATTAATCAGATATAGATTCCTGAACTGGTAATATCTAACTGGCGACCACCCAATGTTTATCGTCAGGGTCGATCAAGAAGTAAGAAATGGAAACTTGTTGAAATAGTTTGTTCTGAGAATTCTATATTGTGTCAAGAATATAATATTGAATAAAGCTACTACTACTACTAATAATAATAATAATAATAGTAATAGTAATAATAATAATAGTGGTAAACAGATATGCAAATGTAGACCAAAGTCACAGTAACCAGTTTAAGAGAAAAAAAATTATATATTTTTATCATTAATTTTATTTGTTTAGTAATAGTTTACTTTGTTTGAATGTTTGTTTCACCAACCCTTCTCCCAACACAGTTGTCACGTATAAACATACTCATACATATTCACTCGTATCTACCTCTTTATTTCTATCTCTTTCTCTGTCACCCACTTTCATCTATAAATTTATTTCTGTTGACTTTTATCTTTATATTGCTTTACATTTTAATACAAGACATTTAGAAAAAACAACCCTTGAATAAGAGACAGAAGTGAGAATTTTTCAAGTGTAATAATTTATTAGTAGTATTAGTATTAATGTCACAATAATTACTGTTAGTATTCTCAGTAATATATTCACTTGTATATAAAAAAGTATTCAGTTTTGTTCAACTCTTAATTTGGTTACTTTGTATGCAAACACACATACATTCATACACGTGGGGGTGGGTGGGTATATATATATATATATATATATATATATATATATATATAGAATGCAATAATTTACTTAGGGCAAAAATTGAGTTGAATTATATCATTAATAATTTGGTAATGACATGAAAATGATCAATGTTACAATGTTACAAAATCTGTTATTTTTTTCCCATTATCATCAATATATAACACCCTTAGGTGTTTTTTTCACAAAAAAAATAAACCATTTCTAGAAAAGGATACTGAATGATTGTAGTTTGGGAATGTACATTTGTGTATCTGTGAGACAGAGTGTGTGCTTGTGCGTGTATGTGCATGCATGCATGCATGCGTAGAAGTTAAACATTGGATATGAATAAGAATAATAATTGAAACAACCAGAAGAAAGAAGAAAAACGCATCGATAGTAAATAAATAAATTAAAAATATACAACTCTACTAAATAATCTAATCACATATTTTTTATTACATTTCATACTACTGACAATCATCAATAATAGTAGTATGTTTAATATGAATAGGAAAAAAAGATAGTAATATGATTACTTCTCAAAATAATCTACACTTAATTGATAGATTTAATAATGTAATAGTAAAAAGTAGAAGTTTTAATGTAATATAACAAAATGAGTAATTTATGTTAATGTTATTGTCCACTTTAATATAAACATAACTGATTCCACTTTGCATGATTAGAATACATTTTACAAATAAAAAAAATTCAAGTATTCAATTAATTATTTTGTATTTTGTTTGTTTTTTTTTTGTTTTAACTAATCAACTCATTATAAATGATAACGCATAAACATCAAATAAAAAAAACAGAATGAATGAATGAAAGAAGGAAAGAAACGAAAAGAAAAGTAAAGAAAAGAAGAGAAAAGAAAATTAATGTTTATTTAATTTAATGTATGAGTGTATTTGATAAAATGGTAATGGAGAATGAATACAAATAAAAATAAATGAGGTAGACCTCTAAGTAGATAGAATGGGAGATTAGTATAAGATAGTAGACAAGTAAAATCTAAATTAGAATAAGTGTGACTACATATATATATATATATATATATATATATATATATATATATATATATATATATATATATATATATATATAAACAAGGTAGAATAGTAGGAAAAAAAACGAAACAACTAATAATAAACAATTCTAACAAATCAAATTCTAATCAAAAGAATTATGCATAAATATGCTATCAATCAAAAATGTAAGCTGTATACATGTTTGTTTGTTTATTCGTGTGTGTGTGTGTGTGTGTGTGTGTGTGTGTGTGGGGGGGTGGGTGTGGGTGTGGATGTGAATGTGGGAGGGGGGTAATGAAAATATAAGGTGAGG